CGTGGGTAAGTAGTTGTGCAGAGTGGTGACATTCACCGAGTGTTGCCAGTTGTCCGCAAAGCATCTCGCGGTTAAATCATTGAGACTTGCGTCAAAATGAGCTTGTTGTGGTCATCGTTCCGAACGGTTCGTTTGACCGAAAACATGCGCGCTGCTGCAAACGAAATTCGATTTATTCGATTTTTGTTCGATATGTGCTGCGAAACATTTCCACGAATACAGGAGGCGATCCATCTAAGCTCTCCGTACGTTTACCAGGCGATTGTATCTCCAATAACTGGTGAAGGAACTGTTTGGGCAACTGCATTGGATCTGCGATGCCGAAGTGAGAAACAAACTCGTATGTCAAGTTCAGATTCAGTGTGTCAAGAGTGAGCAATCCAGTTAGGTCAATGAGGACGTGTCCTCCCAATTGGAAGACGAATTGCGGACACATCACACTCTCGAAATTGTGAAGAACGATAGATGACGTCGATTTGCAGGCCACCTTTCCGTTTGAATTCTTCAACAATCTCGGTACTGCGGGTCTCTTTATGCACCCCCTAAACCTAAAAATTGGAGTTATCCTGATGCGTGTATAAAGTCTTATGATTGGGAACGACCTTAGCAACGACACGTCTGTGATCGTGAGAGACCTGAACACAAATGTTTATATTAGGGGTACAAATGTAATGGGGACAATGACTGTTACTCAGTCTAAGGGTAGGGGACTAAAAGTCCTCATTTCATTTGAACACCCATAGTAGTTGAGGTGAGCATGGGTTCGCTTCGTGGTTGCGTTCATTATCTGTCTAGAGTTTCACCAGAGCACGTAACCCCAAGTCAGCATACCGTTCCATTTTTGCCAACGCCAATTACCTATCGAGCATACCAACGGTACGACTATAATCAAGTCTCAGGGAGAAATATTTCATTAAGTCGGACTTACGGAGCCAGTATCTATCCACGTCATTTGTACATTGCCTGCTCGCGAGTTTGCTCTGAGTATTCGCTGAAGAATCAGATTATCGATGGACCGGAGCAGGACGAAACTGGTGCTGGCACCATTACTGACGATGTTGTCTTTAAAGAAGCACTTCTTTGTTGGTCAAATCCGTACGTCGGGATAATTTTTGTTCGTTATGATATAAACTCTCCCGTTTCGTTCCCACGTCTGTCCCGTTTCTTGATCGTTCATGGTTCCTTCCATATTTATTTACTTTACCCATGGAGTAATTTTGAATATAATTTGTCCTTATTGGCAGATGTAGCACGCTGTACCTCAGCCTCTCTTTGGTGTATATGAGTTGCATCATGAACTGTAGATGAAGTTTTGGCAGCGGGAACCTGGTTTAGATAGTTCTTAAACTTTTTTCTCACTACTCAACTTTGTACCGTAGAAGGCCGCTAGTTACGATTGAAGAGAGCGCCAGACTAGATATTCGCAAAATGCCACGCAAAATAACTCGTGCCGTCCGTGCAACTTTACTAGAATACTAGAATACATGTGCAGCTACGGAGCCCATTGGTCCCCGTGAGTCCTTAAGAGAGACAAGTCTCTCGCATAACCCCTGGGAGTAGTAACAAACGGTTTGAGAACTACTGTCAAATGCGGTTCATAAAAACGAACCGATAACAATCAATAATTTTTCAGTTGAGCATTGCTCCCAAAAGGCTTCCCTTCCTCACAATATTCATTACGTTCGAATTCGTAACGCCCTTTTCCATCTGGATACACAGGGGATTTAAAAACTACCTTCAAGAGAGCCAGATGCAGTAAAGAACCCGTGAGAGCAAGGGATAAGGAATCCAAGAGTCGTCCTTCACTCATTAGAGTCACTGGCGGTTGGCCCTTCCACTCCACTCTGTTCTGTCTTAGGCGTTCGATGGCAATCCCTTTGTCATTGAAGAACTTAGCTGCCCCTTCGGATTCTGGAAAATATGAGAGGTTAGGATTCAGCTGTACAGGGAATGCTAACTCTGCAAAAATACTATTGATATAGTTAAATCTTTTCGAATTGGATTGTATGATTCATTTGAAATGTCACACTTGCTCAACCACATCGATTCCTCATGTTCATACTTACGAGGGTGGTTCAATACTTACCTGAACTTTTCATTCCAGAAAGTCTTTAGTACATCTGATTTCTATCACACTACCCATACTTGAGGTATTCCCCTCCTACACGACGTACTTGTCTCATCGCTTTGGCAACACGTGAACGCCAGAGAGATTAAAATGGTTGCGGTCGAGTGTGCAGCCACTTCACCACTTCATCATCGCCCTGAATTTCTTCGGCAGAGGCGATGCGGAATGTCGCCTTTGCATGCTTGAGCCTTTTCATACTGACGTTAATAGATGAATCCACGTTTCATCACTCCTCAAAATGCGGTTGAGGATGATGTCATTCTCTTCGTCATAGAAATTCAAATTGTCCGACGCGGCGCTTACTCGGTTTGCCTTCTGGTCGAATGTCAGTTCTCTTGGCACCCATCTCGCAGTCACCTCTTTGAACTTAAAGTGAATGTGGATAATGTTTTCAACACTCCCAATGTCGATGCGTACTTCCGCTGCAAAATCTTGCACGGTAACGTGGCGATTCCCCAGAATCAATTGTTAAATTTGCCGGGTGTTCACAACAGTCTCGGGAGGATGGCCGCGCTCAAGGAAATGTTAAGGATTCTTGGCCGTATTGAAATTTCTTGCACGATCAGATACAATTCTCCTCTCTAGACAGTCTCCCCCGAACTGCTCGTGTCATCTTCAAAAAGTGTCAACCTCCTTCACATTTTCTTTCCCGTGAAACATTATTATACTACGCTGTTTAACCCCGGAGAATATACCATCAGACGCAATGTTCCTCACACTCAATTGCACATGCGCAAGGGTTGCCGGTCTTGGCATAAATCACATTGAAGAGATATCTGTCAGGTTAGGCTTTCATACTTTTTCTATGCTATTTTTTTTCTAGAATAGAAAGTGCAGGTAAGTATTGAACCACCCTCGTACAATCATATTGAAAACAAAACCTCGTGTACTGGAATGTACTTGTTTTGAAACCATGAAAGTATTTTCATTGAAATTCCATGCAATGCCTAATTATATTTCGAGTTACATGTGATACGAAAGACCAATTTTACTCGTCTGATGTAGCATTTCCGATCTAAGAGGTTTTAGCTCGACTTTTTTCTCATAAAGAGGTGTCCTCTTTGTATTTTTCGATCGCGCAAACGAAAAAGATTGTTCTACGAGGTCTGGCAATAAAGTTCCAGGACTGATTTTTTTGTGAGTCTATCAACATTACAAAAATTATTTTCATTCCATGGACTGATAGAGTAGACTGTTGAGCAGTGTTGTGTCAGCCCTCATCTAACTAGCATCTTAATTGAGAGTTTGACTGGCTATGCAGCAGCTCAGTGTAAGGCGTCTGTCATATTCCCAGAGTGAATCTCACATTTTCTCTCACACAATCATCACATTTTGTCTCAAACCGATTAATACAGCTGCAGTAATCCATGAAACGTTGCTGAAGTGTCTTGAAAAGTTCATTATTATGCTCCAATAATTTTGAATGACCTTCAATGCCTTTAGCAAGTAGTGAAGACACTCAGATCCACCTCAACCCTAAACATCACCAACCATTCACCCAAGGGATACCTGAATCAGTCATTATTTTCAATGTTATTTCTACTGGCTGAAAGCCTTGAAAACAATTCAAGATTCTTTGAGTACGAGGAGACAACTTGTCAAGACACTTCTTGCAACATTTGATGGATCGCTGGAGCTGTATCCCCGGATTGAGATAAAATGTGATAAAGCATTGCTTCACTCTTGGAATATGACAGACACCTTACGCACATAGTTGTTAAATTGCTAGCCAAATTATCATTCAAGATGCTGGTTAGACGAGGACTGATATGACACTGTCCAACAGTCTAATCTATCAGCCAATGGAATGAAAATAATTTTTGCGATGTTGACAGACTCACAAAAAAATCAGTCCTGGAACTTTATTGCCAGACCTCGTATACATCTCACTGGTTGGCACAAAGGCAAAACATTTTTCGTGATCGCCTTACCTATGTGAACGCCTGTGTCGCCCATCGACCACCGCAGTCATGAGTTCTTTTGATGTGGAGAAATGCTTAATGTGAACTGGGGGAGCATTTTTTATACTCGGTCCAGCCATTTCCAAGACTAGGATAAAAAGTAGAGTTATGTCATAGTTATTAGAGCAAAAATTAACACTTGGTTCGGATGAATCAACGGTCACAACTTTTCCTGTGCCAATGAAGCAAGAGAGTGGAACTAGATACGACATGATATCGGAAGAGATTGGTCACTATCAAAGCTGAGGATTCCATACCCTGTGACTTCACTCATTCAAAGAATTTCCCTTCTAGAGGAGGAATATGAATTTTACGGGTCGTTTGCGGAGGCGGAGGCAGCATTGTTGGCGGGGAAGGAACTGCAAGTCTCCCTCGATCACACCCAGTGCACTGGAGCTCCCGAAATATTGAGTGTATGTGCTTCACGTTTTTTTATGTCAACTCGATGGGCAAGCAGTTGAAATGCGTTCGTCTTGCAGGCTATGGGGGTGAGGCTGTTGGAGTGGCAGCAGTTCGACGCGGACAGCTCCGTGGGTCGCGAGATCAGGTTCACTCAATTCTATACTGAGAGTGAGTCACTCGATCTCGATTGCGAATTGATTGGTGAATTAGCATCAAACATTCATGGTCAACGAATGTAAATGCGCCACCAAATAGGAGTCGATTCGATTCGATGAATTTGGTTCGGAATCCGTGTCATGGAATCTATAATAGTTTCAATGGGCTACAATGAATTTTCTCAGAGAAAGCTTGCCAAATAATTCATTTGGAATTGGGACAGAGGATCGCACTAATCGCCCAAAACGGTCGCTGGCAGATGCGCGATCGGCCCAGATAGACGAAACACTCGAACAAATGGCATAAATCGCGTGCTTGACACTAAGCACTCAACAACGACATGTCGACGTTGGCAACATATTGTCGTCTGACGTCGTCCGACACCCTCTTCCATTACCGACACATCTGGGAAATCCTTTTAGTTGACTAATTTGGGGGATTTGTGCGGCCCCCTCGCTCCCTTTCAAATTGGAATATTTGGCTAGTTTTCTTTGGAAATATTCATCCTTTCCCATTGAAATTCTAATCAATTTCAATATCCACAACTACAAACTTGTATACCAAATTTAATAGAGATCGCTCGAAACCTCCTTGACGGTGCTTTTCATCCCGGCTATGAGTGTCCTTCGTCAGGAAGTTATACATGTTGTCGTAATAAGTCCCCCCCCCCCCCTCCCCCTCCTCCAACTTGCGTAGGCACCGGATCGGTGATTCTTCAAGAATATTTTATGACTGACGACGACGTGCTGACGAACCAGATGACCATCTTCAACCCTGTCACGGAAGAGATCCTCGACAGTTTAACCTACACCTGCCCCGTCGGTTCAGGCGTCGTCGTCTCCGCCCCTGCCAGGGAGAGGTACTTCCAACCCACTCTTGTACCGTAAAGGCACTTCGTCCGCTCCATGCATGAACTCGAACGCGTTCGCGATTCGCAGAGATTTCGGGAGTCAACGAGAATAAATCCGGACGAGTGTCGACGGTCGCTAGCGTCGCGAGCCGGTGGCGTCACAGACCCTGGGGAATCGCTGTCTCTCTGTGCCGGCAATCTTATGAGAGTCCTCTGTGGCGACTCATAAGATTGTCGCACGAACCACCGAAAACGCGTCTAGTTATCCGGACCCTTTCGTATAGGCCTATGACGTACCAATGACAGCTATTATTTGTTTCATTGTTCGATGGTTAGGGTGCGGTGAATATATATGATAATTCCAGTGGTACAGGGGCCAGTAGAACGGCAGATCTTTACCTGGGCTGGTACTTTCTAGTTGTGATTCTCCTTCGGGGGGAGTGGTAGTTTTTGTCTCTCCTCAAATTGCAAGGAAACGAAAGTGATAGCATTAGGAAAACTTTCGAGCTCTTCTTTATATTCCTTGCAACACAATTGTATGCCAAACTCTGAGCACGTACTCTGCCAAGTCATCACACATTCAATCATTCAAGGATAAATTGTGGCATAGAATGCGACCACTGATCCAGAATAAGTAACCTCTATCGTCGTCCGAGCCGGGAGCCCTCCCAGTCACCAATTCATCCCCTTGCCAAGTGTGATTTATCTCCGAGGCTCGCGCGCTACAAGCTCGGGCCAAGTACATCAGCCTGCACATGCATCCATGGGCTATGGGTGGCGTGTGCATGGGTCGTAGCGGAAATGTCCACGTGATCTGTGGCACCCTCATCGGTGGACCAAGTGTAGCTTATACGTGGGGCACGTTATTGACAAAAATTACCTGGCTGGTCTGTCTGCACGTGGAAGCATGGCACAAACGTGGTGTATGAATGTGCCGCTCCATATATGTGCGCTTTTTCTGCGGCAACCCGTAACCTACAACGGTGGAGACATTTCTATATATACAGTACTAGTACTGCTGGAACTGGCATAACCCCCTACTCGAGCAAGAGTCCGACCCATGGATGGGCAGAAGGTATAGGATAACACAAGGGTTAACCTACCGGAAAACATACAAGTAATAGTATATTGTATTATACAGGGTGATTCTTTCGTGTTAGTACCCTAAAAAACGTGAATAACTCAGGCAGGGTACTAAAACGAAAGAATCACCCTGTAGTATGTTACCGCATTCATGGAAGCATCCATAAATACTTCCTCTCGCCTTCAGTCGTATGTTGTATATGTGCGTGGAACATCCATGTCTGCCGAGTGTGGGCCAAGAGTGCAAAAGTTTTCTGTGCCATACATGGTCTAACAACCGAACAGCCACAGAAAATTCGCAGCCACCGCACATACGCCGACCTATGGCCACACGTGCACAGCTGATCGGGTTCCTTTACGGAGACCGAGTGATGCAACCAGCACATCAAGTGTTGAATAAACGCGCGAAATATCCCTCTCTCGCTCTCCACCTCCAGCTTTGCCTCTCCGCAAGTATGCCCCAATTGGGACTCATCGCATATACATTACCATATATACCTGTACTATAGTAAAGTGATTCAGACCGGAAAGGAGAAGGAAGTTTTATTTTACAACGCTCGAGCTTTTCTTACTAGTTCAAAAATGTTAAAATCTAGAAGAGACAGCAGTGCGAAGGCCTCGCCCTTCAATTCCTATACGGTGATGGGAACAAAGTCGACAGCGAAACAAAACGAGTTCTCCTTCGTCCCTAGTCGTCCTCTGGTGAGCTACTTCGAAGTGTATGCAGCAGCCTTGGACGGAGTCCATTTGGAAGTCCGGATCAACTACGAGATGTGCAATGACCCAACCGGCAGCGGATTCGATTTCACTGGGATCACCACCGGCGCTTACCTTCAAGAAATGTTCATCGACAATCCCGACAGTAATTAGCCATTGCAATCGGGAATGGTATTCCTTGAGGAAATCTCCGGTCTGATTTCTCTTCTTTCCTTCTCCAGGCATCGACTCGATCATCTTCACCAGCGCTTACGCCTTGGTGACCAACGCGATAACCGGAGAAGGGTTTGCTTACAGCTCCGTCGACTTGAGCTTGGATCGCAGCAATGTCGCCAGGGTCGTCCCTGCCTATTGGTCGGTCGAAGGAGGTCAACTGACCAATCTTTTCGGGGATGATCTGTACGTGGAATGTGCCATGGGAGAGGGTCTCATCGTCTATGCCAGCAGGCAGGATTAATATATGGTCGAACGGTGATTTACCAGATTGCAATGTCGTGTAATAAAATCCGCTAAGAATAAGAAGAATCTAAGCTACATCCTTGATAATGTTTCATTTGATGCATGTTTCACACTCTCACTTCACCTTCTCGGGGTTCCATAATCGTATCGAAACTCTTGGGCATTGGCCTCATTTAGGCGATTCACAGGAATAAGAAAAAAAAAGTTACAGTATCCTATGTGAAGGGAGCGACTAAATATCCTTTTTCATGAAAAAACGTGGAGTAAGGTAAAAGACTCGGTGATGGACTGGTTCCCAGTGACTGATCTCAGTACATAAAGATTCCAACAGCTAATCGTCCATTGCACGCCAACCCCTGTTGTGACATGGGCTAGCTGCATGGACATGCACATGCACACTTCAGAGGTGCTCATGTTACAAATTCTTAGTTTATGGAATTTTCTTGAGTCGTGGCCCATCACGGAGCACACGCCCTTAACAGATCCATCATTGGGTCATCTCCTATCCCCTCTTTGGAAGGAATAAATTCCGGGGAATCGCATGCCTTCTGGATTTTTCATCATTGATGGCAACAATAGGTTTCTGCAGCGCATGTTGCCTTTCTTCAATCCCTTCCCGAAACAAAATTCAAACTCCTCGTATTCCTCTCTGAGAGCATCAATAGGAAAGAGATTTGGCATGTTTTTTCTTCTCTCAACACAGAATCGCTCCAGCAAATTTGAAGCTCCGTCTCAGTGGGGTGCGGACGATACCAAATATTTTTTGAGAATGTGAATTTCATTCCGTTTTTTATTTATTCATTTATTTATTTTGTACAGCATGGGGGTCAGGCGTGACGTCTGCCATAGCGGCAGTCACAGCATTTTTCAGCTGCTGTTAACGCTGCGACGTTCTCCTCTCACTTGTCCCAAGGGGATATCCCTGGGACACCTTAGGGATTACACTTGTGCTGCGCGGGTCACTTCAACTTTCCTCTCACGAACATCCTCGAGCGACATGCAGCATATAGGGCCTTACGAACAGCCACACTCATTGCCTCTTCCGAATCTTGAAGCTTCTCTGGCAGAGCCTGTCGGAGACGGATATCGACTTCCCTCACTGAAGCGATGGGGCTTATCGGTCGAGGTCATTTCAATGACGTCGAGCATCTTCACGCCGATTATTTTGTTCCCGCCCACTCTCCCTTTCCGCACCTGACAGGTCATCTGAAATTCACTTCACCGTCTCCTCCCCGTCTGCTCAGATATCTCAAGGATACGGCTTATGATGTCGATGCCAATACTGTCAGGCGACAGTTTATATAAATACTACCCAATGTTTGAGTATTGAAGATGTAACAGGAAAAGCATGAGACGCAGCCGAGGGAGCGTGAGACCGGTGTCCCGCAGGCCAAACGGTCTTGCGGCTGGAGATTTTGGCGGGCGAGCGCGCTTTCCTATCCTGGCCTCAACCGCAGTTTTTTTTTTTTTTTTTGGAAAGGNAGCGCGCTTTCCTATCCTGGCCTCACCCGAAGTTTTTTTTTTTTTTTGGAAAGGGATATTCCGAATATTTCAAACTCGCACTTCAAAGTGATTCTGTGGTTTAACAGGATTGAGAAAATTCTGAACATGTTTTGTGTGGAAGATAAGACCTAGGTGCATACATAATGGAACATACTTAACCGAAGCAATAACCGATTTCCAGATGTAACAATTCAAACAGCAGCGGATAATTTTTGGCGCGTTTTTTTTTTAAACTTTATTTCTGGTTCCTTCCAGCTCCGAAGGGGGAAATTTCCGGCCATGACCGATTTCTTATCGACAGATACTGGCACAAGATCCCGCATGCTCTTCGAAATGCATTTGCAGACGATTCCCACGATCGGGACATTTATTGCATTGCCCTTGATATTGCGATTCTGCAGGATTTTTTGCCCCGTACGCAACTGTAGTGTTTGGGACTTCTCGCATCGGTCGTTCCGCCCTTGAGACTCGAGCGAACCCGCCGCCGCCTCCCTCGTCTCTTTGTTTTCCACGAGTAACTGGACAGGTGAGGAGGTTCCCTGGCCTGGCATCCCGTCGGATGTTATCAAGGACGGGAATCTCTATATATAAGGAGCTTGGGGGAAGGGAGGAAGCGATCGCCTGTGTCGTGATGGAGTTATTCTTTCTTCTTGCCTTCGTTCTGCCGGGAGTCCTCAGTCAGGGTATGAGTACTTTTGGGACCCCCGTCTGAGAAGACCGCGTGCCATCCCACATTGTATCTTGCCGATCGTTTCAGCCGGGGGGGGGGGGGTAGAGGAAAACATTTTGTAATGTCAACGTAGTCTCCATGGGAAAAAAGAAACATATAGGATGAGTCATCTGCAGGCTTGCTAAGGGCTTATCGCTTGCGACTTCACGATGTGAGGCCGTCGCCTCGAGTCGCCGCACTGGCATGGCGACCGTGTCTCATTAACTATAGCAGGGGTTCTTAACCTTTTTGCACCTACGGACCCCCCAGATCCTCAAGTATTACCCATGGACCCCCACCCTTGGTTATAAGAAACTTTGGAACACCTAGATTTGTGATTATAAATGATGTTTTTCGGGCGCTACCTTCAATTATATATTTAATTTTCCAAGGATCCTCCACGGACCCCCCGGGGGTCCATGGACCCCAGGTTAAGAACCCCTGAGCTATAGGCTTCGCTTAAAGGTAAACAGGTGATGAGCAGTGGCGTAGCGAGGGGGGGCTGGGGGGGGCTGGGGGGGGCTGGGGGGGGGGCTTCAGCCCCCCAAGTTTGGTTCAAGCCCCCCAAC